ACTCAAGGCTTGCATCAATAATTGGAGCATTTTTATTTTTAAAAATATTTCAAAAAAATTATATTTGAAATTAATTTTAAAAACTTAAAATAATAAAAATATTATTAAAAGATCTACTCATATAAAAAGACAATGATTAAATTGAATCCTTGTACTTAGATATAAAAAAGTAGTACTTAAATTTTATTCAAATACTATAAATATTCAATTTATATCAAGTTTTAACAAATTATGTCTAATTAATGTTGTATTATTAAAAAAAATTAACAATTTATAAACCTCCAATCAAGAATATAATTAAAAATAGTAATTTTTTAAAAAAAAATATTAAAAAAATAACATAATTGATGTGGTTAGAATATATGGTATAAGAAATAAAATATTATTAAAGGCTTTTTAAATTTATATTGATAAAGTAATTTACCATCAAATAAAAAAAATTATTAATTTTAAATTATAATATTAATGAAACTTTGCATGATAATACATTATTTTTCTATTATAAAATTATATAGAACCTAAAAAAATTTATTATTTAAAAAAATTAAATAATATTTTGAAATCATTGGATTGAAGTAATGAAGCAAAAGATCTTATAGAAGAAATATAATCAATAGTGTAATTATTTCAAAAAATATATCTTCTTTTGATATTTTATATTATTTTGAATGTTAAAGATTTCTATCAACTAGTGGATATTTTTATATTTAGTAAGTATACAAGAAAATTAATAGATATTTGATATAAATAGAATATTTTAAAAAGTCTTTTAAATAAAAAAAGATATGATGGAACTAATTTCATTCAACTAAATAAAAGTGAAGTCATGAAAGTATTTGTTATACATGCCTTCCAAGATAGATATTGTAATATGTCATACTTAGTCAAAATGTTCATGGTGGTGGTTAAAGATTATGCATTACATCCCTTGAGTTGAAAAATTATGATTTATTTTATAAATAGACTAATAAGACTATATTTGAGAGAAAGTTTTATAAAAAATAAGAAGTATATTAATATATAATAATTCAAATGATATTTGAAAAAGACAAAAGTCTAATTTTAATGACCTTAATAATAATGATTATAGCAAGTGTATTGTAACTTAAGTTGATTTGCGGATTTTAGGTATGTTACATATGGATCATTTGATTTTGTAATATTATCTTTATAACTAATAACATATAAATATGTATTTTTTAACAAAATATTTTAAATACAAAAATCATTTATTTCATAAATTATAAAAATTAATTGAAATAAAAAAGAATATAAAGGTCAAATAATTTCATCATTTTTTAATAAGATATATGAAATACAAAAACATAAATATATTAAGTTCCTATATAAAGAAATATTATTAACAAAAGTGATTAAAGATCTAATATTTTAAAAAAAGAGATATAATAATTGTATAAGATAATATAAAAGTATTTACAAATATTATATATTACATTAATATGAAAAAACTTGTTGTATTAAATTTTATTTAATTTAAATATTTAAGGTCATTTTTTTTATTGAATCATATAACATTGTATACTTAAAATAATTAATAATTAATTTTAAATATGGATATTATTAGTAAAAATAATGTTAGATAATTCTTTTTTGGAAGAATATACAAATTTATCAAATTTAAATACTATGCTTATATACATAAATACTTTAAAGTGATTAAATTTAAATTATAAAAAAAATTAAATTATAAGAAATACTGTATATTGTGAGTGTAAAATTCCACCCTTCAACCCAAATTACAAGATGGCCTCAATTAAGAGTTTCTTGTAATGGGTGGTATAAAGTGGAAGTAACAAACAACAAGAACTAAAGGAGAATAACACAAAACAAGTGAAACAAGTGCAATCAAGCAATTGTACACTACAAAACGAGTCACAGTCTGTTCACTGGATTTTCACCCAATAAAAGGTAAAAAGTAAAATTTAAAATTATATTTTTAGAAAAGGTAATTTTTTTAAATATTTTCAATGATGTAAAAAACATGTAAATCCGAGTTACTATGAGTAAGTTATGAAGGATTAAAAATAACAACAAATGGAAAGTTAAGTGAAAAATATTTTACCTCAAGGGTAACTTGTTAATAGATCAAAGGTTCGAACCTCACCAAGGCTCACATGTAGTGTATATGGGTTGTCTAAAGAGGCCTTGAGGCCTTAGTCTTATCTTCCTACCTACATCCAAGGTGCTACAACCCATATGGGACTTGTGCACCTCCCTTCGTATAAGGACTATACTAGCTGCTGGTCCTCTTATTTTCTACTAGTAGAATTAATATTTTTACATTTTTGACTTCACCATGGTGTTCAAAAACACTCAATTAGCCTAATGACATTGTGTGGCCTTCAAACCTTGCTCTATTTCTTCATAATGGCTTCCCAAGTGGTAAAACTCAATTTTATCCAAGTCTTAAAAATTATCCTAAAAATTCATAGAAAATTCTAAATAAATTCTAAATAAATTCTAAAAATTCCTATATTATTTCTATAATTCTAATATCCATTCAAAGATATAATTTCCTATATTGATGATTTTTTATAGTGATAAAATCAATTTGAATCTACTAAAAATTCTAAATAATTTCTAAATAAATTCTAAAAATTCCTATAATGTTTTTATAATACTAATAGCAATTTAAGGATATAATTTCTTATATTATTAATTTTTTTATAGTATTGGAATCAATTTAAATCTACTATAAATTCTACTTTCTATATAAATAACTAAAAAGAGATGAGGTTCTTTCTCATGCTTCTTCTAACTATTAACTAACATTTATAGTTTTTGTATAAGTAATACATATAGATATAAGATCAATTAAATATTGATTTTAGTAACTAATCCTTACTCCTCAATAATAAGTAAAAATACTAAATCAACTAAAATAATTACCTCCAAGACTTACTAAGACTCCATTTCTTCTCCATTAATACTATTCTTCTTTCTTTAACATCTTCTAAGCACATCTTTACGTAATAATTGTAATTTTGGCACTCTACATGCATTCTTTTGTCTTAAAACAACTAGTGAGTTAATCTGATGACTCACATATATCCAATTTTTTCTTTAAGTAGAACTAATTTAGTAAATTGTGACATTTTGCGTAAAATATGGCAAGACTTTAAAAACTTACAATCTTTGAAAGTACTCATATTAAATAATTATATAATACTTCAAAAAATATATGCAAGATTTGATGCCATAAAAGATTTAAAATAACTATTAAATGATTATTATAAGAATATGACTTTTTTAGATATTAGTGGGTTTGAATAATTAAAAGTTGTATCAAGAGCATTTGATGTGCATATAACTTATAAGATTGTTGCATTTATTAGAAGAAAAAAAATTATCAAAATATATCTATATTTATTTTTATTTATTATCTAATGTGAAAAAATTAAGAAAAAAAAGTTGGAAAATATTTTTAATTCGTATCACCAATTATTTATTTATTTATTTATTTTCTTCAATTAAATAATTTTATTTTTATCTTTTCTTATGAATAAGAATTGATTTTTCCATCAATAAATATTTAGTGTTACATATCAAGGTTCTAGTTCAACATATCTAACTAAAACTAAAACCTAATATTATTTTAGCATTCAAAATTTGTGTATAAACACAATATTATTTTATTTTTATTATATTATTATCATTATATTAAAATATATAATAATATTAATTTATTTTAATAAGTAAAAAATCCTCCTCTTTTTTTAACATAGAACTTTACACATAAAAAGCCTACAGTGTGGCACTTACACTCAATCACATATGCTGAACAAGTATGTAAATTAATAAGATATCTTGTATATAGCCCATCTAAGATTGCATCTTCTATGCACTTTTCTTTTGTATTACACATACTTACTCTTTCCTTTTAGCTTCACTTCTAAACTCATGTATTAATTGACAAGTATACTAATAATGTTTCTACACTAGATTGAAGCAAACCCCCTTAAAAGTAAAGGCATTATTACCTACCAAGCCACTATCTAATGCAACAAGAAATTGCCAAATGTCATGCTACAACTACCATGGTCTTTCAAATAGCCATACATCTATCCATACATTGCTACAATTCTAATATCTTAAATCTTGAAACTCTATATTTTTTCAAGTAATCTTAATAAATACTTTGCACAATTTCTATTGATAATAGTTGGTTATTTTATTTTATTTAGGAATAACACCTAAAAAACAATATCCTACTAATATCTACATGTATATGTTATCCTTGTATAAGCAACAATGTAATAGATGTTTAGACACACTTGTTAATTATGTATGATTATATCAATTGATTAAGTCTATATTTTGTAAGACAATAATTATTGGATACTTAGAAATAATTGGATGCCCTTGGGGAGCACTTTTTGTCAACCTTTTTAACTAAATGATTACAAAAGACAAAGAAAAATGAGAGGAGATTTAGCAAGAAGCCAAAAGAAAATGGGTCTTACATGCTTTGTAGGTGTGAAAAAGGCACTTAGGATTGCTTCCAACAAGTAGACTAACCTTACGTGAGTTCAGCTCCACACCCTGTAATATCCATTACTCGATCCTTTTCCGGTGCATTTGCAATCTCTTTTTTTTGCTTTTCGAATCTACTCTAAATCTGGATTTCATCACATTCATGCTTTCATCTCGTTTGCATTTATCAGATATTGTTATCACCTGCAAATTGCGGTAGCAGAAGGCAAATTGGCGAATTCAAAGCCTGCAGCGTCAGTCGAGCCAAATGCGTTGTTTACCGCATTGTACGCCGTGTTTCTTGAGGCGAATGCAATATCACCATTGTCAAAGCAGCAGTTATTGAGGGGATCACAAAGCTTCTACTAGATTCTAAAGACGTACTTACACTTTCAATTCTGTTTACGGGCGTGAGGCAAAAGTTGGGCTTGAGACAGTTCTAACCTTTCATAATTTGACCAGCCTCTTTCAAAATTGATGCGGTGAGATTTGAGGAAACGTATACGTAACTAAAAGGGAACTGCACAGTGAGAATAATGCATTCATGGTTTAATACATAAGTATACATGATGAACTACTTCTGATCTCCAAGATTCTACCCTTGCAGCCCACGAATTTTACAAGATCATTAATCCCTAGATAATCTCACAATTTCTTTTTTCATCTATTCTGCAAGGTAGTAGTCTCATTAGAGCAGATCTCAAAAGATATCATACGTCAAAAGAAAACTGTGGGTGGCCAACGATTTAGATGACATCCCTCAGACATGAGCGATGCCAAATGTATATTCAAGTTTTCGATCAATACTCTTCTGAGCTCTCCAGCACCTTTCCAACATATCATCAATACTTTCCATGCCACTGCTGGTAATCGATATACATGGTTTAGTGTGCCCACTCTCCCTCCTTTCTACGGTCCTGTCATAAGATATATTACCTTCAGTATCAAAGTAACTCCTCTCGTTAGAAGCGCCTTCAGCGTCGAAGTCGGCTCCCAACCGGGTGTCAGCGAAGCACATATCTGAGCTGGCCCGACGTAGTGCACGGTCAAAGTTACTGTCCAGCTTCGTGAACATGATGTCTATTTCTATTTCCAATGGTAAGCGAGGAATTTTAAATGTCCCAGAGACTTTATGGCCGAGACTATTTTCAAGCGGTGAAGAACCAGGAGATCCAGTGGCCTGTAAGTCACTAACACCAGTGGTCTCTGTCCACATAGTGGATGCTCCAGAATTGATTAAATTTGTGTGGAGAGGCTCGATGGCATTCTCAAAAGAAGTTCCCAATCGCCTCTTCTTCAAGGAAGCAGATGGATCTTGTTGCCAGGACTCTAAAGACGGTGCAAATACTGACCAGGTGTTTCCTTGCACCACGAAAGGTGACATATCCTCCATGTTCTGTGGAGTTGCATGTTCTGTTGATAGAATCGTGCTCTCATGTTCTTCAAACCTAATCCGATCTGCGTATGACTTGGCTAAAGTCAGCTTCTCTTGAAGATTGCTCCTTTCTTGTTGCTCCTCTCTGTCGTCAAATACGAGATTAACTTGCCTCGTCCTGCCAAAGGGGGTCCCAGCGGCAATTTCTTTTGCAAAAGGAATGAGCTGTTCCACTTCATCCAGTTCCAATGGTCGCTCCACCTCCTCATCTTTTGATACAATGTAGACAGTTGGGGGCGGCTCGCTGTTGAGTAGTAGCAAACGAGTTTGATAGATGGCTTGAAAAATGTTCGCCCAACGAGGAACCAGCACACGTCCTGAATCAGTCCATTCAAGAGAGCTATTCCTTTGCACCATCACCTGTACTTGGCGGACAAGGACAGGATCGTCTTCCTTTAGTTTATCAACAGAAGCAAGGTATTTTTGCAAAGCCCTTTCCACAGCTGCCTGTAAACCAAAATGCAACCAATATCAGTAACCGACAACCAAAGAAAGATCGCACCAAACCTCATTCAACAGGTAAAAATAGTCGAGAGTGATTACAGACCCACAGGGAAGAGGAAAAAAAAAAAAAAAAAAAAAAAAAAAAAAAAGTCCAGCTAAAGATTCAATATCTAAGAAGACAAAACAAAACAAATAAATAATGCACTATTAATGCTGTTTAATCAGAATAGTGCCAGGTATAGACTACTTTAAAACACATTTCAGGCATTTTGTGCAAAGATTGCAGATAAGGAGGTACTACATACTAATAACTAATGCAACGAAAATTAGCCAATTACAGTATCCCTATGACCAACTACTTACCATGCCAGATAAAACCATTCAAGTTATGAAATTTCTACATGAAAAAAAGGCAACATTGAAGATAGATAATACCTTTTGGTACCGCACATTCTCCCACGCACTTGTGGGAGAGCTTGGCTTAAGCTGCTCAATCAGAGGAAATCTGGGCAACTGAGCCAAATGCAGAGCCTTAAAAATTGGATCCAACAGATCTGGTTCATTCCATCCTTGCTGAGGCAAAACTCCAGGTAGCACATCCCTCACTTCAGATTCAGCCTCAGGAGGTGGCCAATGAGGTGGTGCAGCACCCACAGCTTTGCGAATTTCCATAGCAGCTGACTTTAATGAGCGATTGAAGATACTTATGCAACGCTCAGGAGTCACATTTGTAGAGGAACTAGCCAAAAGAATCTTACCATGGCCATCTAAGTTGTTTGATACTAATTCGCGGACATGGATAGGACGTAAGTTGGGCTGACCAGAAGCACTATTAGCTAGCCATACCAAACCTCCAGAAATAAACCCATCACTGTAAAAACCTCCATCATTACGTGATGACACAGGTGACACGTTTTGCCAACCTATTCGAAGTCCTTCAAAATCAAACAACCCTAGAGAAGATTTCAATTTCTCTGTTTCTGCTTCAATGTTACGTTCTTTGGGCGAATAAAGAAGTAAAAGTGGAAGTCGGACTCCAACGGGAAAAGTTTCCACCAATGAGTGCAGTCGAGCTCGTTCATCAATGATTGAATGCCCCTTCCGGACCAGGAACACAAGACCACTAGCTCCATGCAATGCGGTCTCTTCTTTGTTTTCATCTATATCCGTAACTTCAAACCATAACCCCGGAGTGCGGCCATCTGAATGAACTTCTGGGATGACAAGCTGGCGTCTAGACAACTTGTTAGATAACCATTGCCCAGCCACATTAGAGGGATCTCTATCGCCAACTGACAGAAGTAACTTAAATGTAATGAACTTCGTTGTAGGAAACATATGTTCAAACAACGGAAGCACCAGTGATGCCACATCTAAGGGTTTCCACATCTCATGAATTTTCTCCGAGCGCACCCTCGTAACTTCATCCATCGACGTTGATGCGAGTCCACCGCTTGCTTGTGCAACAAGTGCCTGACAACATCAAGCCAAAATATTCACAAGAATAAATAAATTAATATCATTTTGTCTGGTTAGAATGCTTATAACTTCAGCTTTTAAATCATCACAAAAGAATTTTGTGCAACATTATAAGACATTTCCACTTGAACCACATAGAGAAGAGTGTTCGTAAAATAAGGCAACAGTGGATGCAACTAAAAATAACTCACGCCTTCTTTATCAGATTTGGGACCAACTAAAGGGGACCCAACAGACAGAGAACCCAATGCAGCCTCTGCTCTAATCTTGCGCCTACGCTTCTCCTCTGCCATGATGGCAGCCCTGCGTTTCCATCGTCTGTTACCACACAAGTTGACAAGAGTGTCATTACCCTGTAGTGTGGCGAGACGTCCAATACATAAAACGAAAAATTGGATGACTTTATGGAAAGATACAATGTTCAACTGCTGGGAAAACCATGATTTAAAATGAACAATTTCCTTATGCACTCCGCAATTCTCAAGAGGTGAAGCAAGACATCAACTGGGACGAAAAAAGATTGGAGAAGAAGAAAAGAGAATCAGAATGAAAAATTGCAATCAAAGGTCAGGGTAATTAAGCTAGGATCAGAGTTACCTAAGCCAAAGCCGTTTCTTTCCAGCGCTTGCCTCTGCCCTGTAGGTAGCTAGTCTTTGCTCTTCCTGACGTTGTCTTTTCAATTCAGCATCAGCAGCAAGCTTGGCTGCCCAGTTTGCAGCAGCAACTTCAGCTACTTCTGCTGCGCGTTTCCTCCTCTCACGTTCCCTTTCTTTTTCCCTCTCAGCCTCTTCAACTTCCCACTCCAGCACTTTTTGTGCCCTAATCTCCTCTAAAGTAGGGCCAGTCTCAGGTAAATCATCTACTTCTTCCTCTGGTTCCACATCAATAGCTCCTTCTGCAGTAACTAATTTCTTATGCCCCTCCTTCAAGTCATTGTCTTGAGTTAGTCGCCCTGGGTACGATTCCCGCTTCCGGCCCCTCTGTGGACTAAGAATTTCTGTGGGGGGGGTGGGCAGTAAATGAATTTGTTGAGGGGTGGGCCACAACGGTATACGATTTGAACCAAAAATATTTGCGGATGGCATCGCCTGGCCACCGTTAAGAGGAGATATTGATTTGTAGGGAGGGGAGATGCGCATGTCCTCAGCTTCTCGACTGGCACCTGGACTGGATCGTCCTGGTGGTGTAGTCCAAAGCTGCTGCACTGGAGATACTTCAGGCGTCTCCACCACAGAGAGCAGATCATCATCTTCATAATCAGCCATCTCTTCTTCTTGTATACCAGGTGTCATCGGGGTAGCTACCCAACTATCGACTACAGGCTGTTGTTGCCCCTTACCTTCAACGTCCTCGACAATAGTAGAAGACCGTTTTGCTTCCACTAGACGTGAACGGCGCGTTTCGTATTCTGCATCCCGATTGAGTAAAGGGCCATCCTTTATAACATATTCTTTCTCAAAGGATTTTATACTGAAGCCGTGGTACTCCACCAAAGTTTCAATGTCTTCACTCTAGTTATCAGGAGAAGACCCACATCAACAATATCAAGAATTCGCTGGTGGCACCATTCCTCTATTCCCAATTCTCAACTGCCCAGGGCTAAAAGACTCTGGTGACAAGTGACTCATCTACAAAAATACATTGGACCTGGGACTATAGTGCAGACACTGAAAACAACAATACCTACTGTGGGAAACTATTGCTTGAGAACTCATACAGATATGTAATGAATAAAACATGATGACACAGATTCATGTACCTCCATACCCAGCCACTTAACAACTTGTGTGACGGGAACGCCCTGATTCTTCTGTAGACCGCTATGAAGCATTGCTAAAGCCTCAGTTCGAAGCTGTGCATAAAACGGGATAACATCACATATCAGTACTGATTTAACACAAAATTTGAAAGAAGACTTCTACTGCAAACAGAGAGAATCTATGATCTACTTCATTGCGTAATGATTCGAGTTATGCATGTGTGTGTTTATATATGTATATATTTTTTATTTTTTTCCTTTGACCACAAACTTAGAATAGCTACAAAGCATAGTCAGCAACAAAGCACAGATATTAATTTTCGAACAGTGAGAAAGATTACCTTCGAAAAATGAGCATGCATGAGACATGCTTGAAGATATGTGGCCTTCCTCGCTAAACGGAAAAATGCAATATAATTACCCCCACGGCATGCCCTGATAAATCCAGTTGAACACACCCACCCAAGCGGAAAAATCTTTCCATCAAATATTCATGTCTGCTAAGAAAGTGTGCATTAGTGCGAGAGCACAAGAGCTGCTTCCTCCTTGAATTCAGTCATGTCGAGCCCAAACAAAGACTACACCAACAAGGCATCCTCCGCAATGTCCAAATATACACTCTTCAATTGCTTCCAAGGATGATGCAGGTTTTGGAATATTGCCAAACTCCACGTAGACTTTGTTCAACCTATTTCAATTGCCATCCTGCAATTTTGGCTAACAATAACACCAGCAGGATTGACCAAGTACAACCATGAGAAAATACCAACTCCCATAAGATGGACTTCGCAAACCCCCTGCCATCTCAAAAAGAACACCTTACAGAGATGTTTCAAATTGGGTGTATCATTGCAGAAGATCTAAATAGAAGAACCTTCTGACCTAATCAGTGACTGTAAACACTGTGTGCACAAACATGTTTATATCGGTCGAAGACTACATCCCCACACCAATTCTAAAACCACTTCGAAAGTTCAGCATCAATGTGCTACCTGCGAGAATAATAACAAAATCAAGATAGAATTTTACAAAAATTGAAATAGGACAGTGCAAGAGACAAGTAATGCAGACCTGGCAACATCCCGAGCGAACAATACTTGGCGAGTATTTCGCATCTCTGGTGTCATTTTTGCAAGGTCCAAAGATAGCTCCGCAGGTTCAACCTAAAACGAACCAGCAGAATGGTTCGATATTCAATACATTCATGTTATTTAAGGTGAAAGAACAGGCCTTTCGCTCATAGAACGTTAGATTTTGAAACCACTAATCTTTAAGTAATACTTGGTAAAAGTTTTAGAGAAGAGTCTAGTATACTCACAGAATACCCTGGGTGTTTGTCAAGCTTCAAAAGAGCATAGTAACCTCGAAACTCTGCCTCTGTTTCCACTTGAATTCCTCTTTTTCGATGATCATCATACATTTCAAAGAGATCTACAGAGGCTTTGTTCATCTGCTCAATATTTAGATGGGCGTCGAAACCTTCATTGAAACCTTCCCCTTTCTTATACTGACAAAGCTCATGCATCGCAAGAATGTGAAATCGGATCTGGCCAAGAATATAGAACCCATTTAAATTGGAAGTAAAACATTCAAAAAGGAGAACGTATACCATTTATTAATGATACACCCAACGGATATAATTCAAAAGAGAATCTCTGGGAACACTAAAATAACGAATAAACAGTAAATTCACTTTCTAAATAACAAGCACGCAACACTACGCCTCTCAAACATATTCATCAGTAGTATAAGAGTTTCTAGCTTCACTTGAGGTAGGCAATGCTCAAGATGTCGAGTGCTCACCATCTGCTCGTGCATAGTGATGGCTTCACGGTTGAATATGTGTTGCATACGTAAGTCCATGCGCACCGCTCTCATTCTATCCCATAAAAAACTATGGAGTCTCAAAAGCCCTTCATCATAACCTTGATTGATCAAGGACAACAAATAGTTCATTGTCATTTGAAGAACTGGAAGTGGACGAATCAAATGAGGTTCCCGAGAAGGAGTCCTTGTGTACTGCACAATAACCAGAAGCCAAATACTTATTAGAGCAACCAACTTACGCTCACAGTACTGTAAAAGCGACGCCAGCTAGGTAACTCTGAGACTCGAAATTATTCTTATCAAATATGCCCAGAATTTACACTATTACTCACGAGGTTACTAAGACATTCTTAGGAAGATATTGATGCTACAAAGATCTACAGAATTACGCTTGGCCTCACTTTAATCTACTGCTAATACGTTGACACCATCAAGGATGATCTTGCATATAAAAAAGACAAGTGTACAATAAGGCATTAGAATCAGAAGTTACAAGAAAAGCTAGACCAGCGGATGCAGCCAACAAATACTCAATCACATCAAGTGTACCTTCTTCACTGCCAAGTCAGCGCTTGTAAGATTACGGTCCCCATCTACTCTTTCAAATTTGTCGAGATCACCTTTTCTCTCACGTTCATGTCGTTCGATTTCTGTGAATCACGCAGAGCATGCAAGTAAAACACTTTCAGTAATTCGACCAACCCTGCATCGCATAGTGCTCTGCTTCTCTACATCCCTGTATCCGTCTCACATTCAACCACAGGTGGCACATGACACTGCTTTGCACACGAGAAAGGCTTTCACCTGAGCACATATCCTCGCAGGTCCCGACAATTGCTTCCGTGTTGTTAAAGTCCTCCCCCAGGGCATCTGTTTCCATAGTGTCATTCTGAGAGCTGTCTCCTACAGGTTTCGGGCTTTGGTTCAACTGCCTAGATTCTCGGTTAGGGACCCGATGATCAGCCTTCCCCGAGCCACGGGTAATATTTGGCTGTGGCACAATATCGGGAGTTTCTTGACCTTGTGAAAAGCGTAGAAGTCTCTGTGCTTTTGCAGTTGCTTCTCTGCAATACCGTCACAGTGAGCTGGAGGATAGAATACATTATCCAAGCTAACGAAGAATAATACAAGCTAAACATAATCAAACATCTGCTTCTGAACCATCCATCCTCCATATATCGATGGAAACCTTAAGGTTGACATGGAGGAGAGAAAGGAAATTTTACTTGATAAATATCTTATTACTAATAATATTTTATTACTGCTATTACTAATATTATTGTCGCTGCTGTTGTTGTTGTTGTTGATACTACAGTTACATTTGCATCTTGAGAGCAAAATCTATAAGATTAACGAAGTGCAACTATAGGCACAAAAAGAATTCCCATACATATAAAGGGAATCACTTGATCAATACTATCCATAGTACAATAAGTCATTCAAGCAGCCAGTGCTACATAATAATAGACCAGGTCTATGTAAATTAAGACATACCGAACAATTAGTTGATTTACCGTTTACTCCATTTTCTAGGTCACTGGAGGTTGAAGGTGCAAACTTCGACGGGCAGAGTTGTCTTACCTTAACATCTCGGCATCACTTAAGATTGCTCCCACTGTACTTTGTTTAACAGGAGGATGAGCCCCAGCTGGAGGTGCATTACGCATGCGAGTAGGGCTGGGCCTCCTTTTGTAAACATTTTGCTCAGTTTCCGCGTTAAAACCCTGAGCACCAGGTCTGGCACCCTTGAGTGCCTGCCTGCTTGGTCCAGCTCCAAATCCAGGACCCGATCCACCAGCAACCTTTCCTCCAGCCGTTGCAGTTCCAGCTTTCGCTCCGGTCGTTCCAGCTCCAGGCTTCCCTGCCGCAGCTGCTTTCCCAAACACTACACCCTGGCGCGGCGCCAATGGAACAGCAACCGCCCTTCCGAAACCGGATGAATCCATGGCTGTAACTGTAAGAAGGTGGAGATCAAAACAACAGTCCTGCAATCATCTGCTCATCACTGCCCTGTGGACAAGTGAGCCAAAGACTACTTGTTGTACATCTGGAGTAAGCTGCGACAAACCAGCACATTCAGAAGTTGAATTAGTATCGATGAAATCTAGTAAACAAACTCTTAACAGATTCCACAAAATCACTTTGTTTCGAACAAATCTCAAAGTATTTGAGATAACGAGTTGCTCTAATGACGTAGGTAAGTTGCAACCAGTAGCAGGAATTCTCTCAATCTGTAACTTCGCAGTTGTAAGTGTCTGCTGAAACTAGATCAGAATTATGAGTACATCAACAAGCATGAAAGAGTAGCTGTAAAAGTAGATTTGTTCTAAAACTAGAAGAAAAGTAGTAAATTAGTATTGAAGCAATTGAATCAACACCTGAGGCACTGGATTAACTCCGATTCCGCCAGTTACATCAACAAACTATAGAAAAACCTCCACTGCTCTCTTCTCTCACCAGTTCAGCATTACAGTATCTTAGAGAAAGAGATCAAATAAAAGCCAGCCCAACTCCGAATCTAAAGGCTGCCAGAATTTCCCTATTTATCAGAAACCTACAATCTCAAGAAAAGTTGAACCAAATCCAGCTCCACGGTATCTAGAATATGATATCCGGACAGGTCAATAGGGATACTGCTGGTAGACCATGAAGAGCTTTGTCCAGTTCACACTATAATCGAGCAGCCAAGGGGAATTGGAGAGCCCTACGAAGGCCGACGTTGCCCAAATGTGACTAATTAAGAGAAACCAAATTCTGTTCCAAATGCAATCCTAAAACCAGTAAGTGGCGATACCACTTCTTCAAATATAGAAATCAACTAACTCCTAGATGTACAGAGCCTTAATACGGTAATATCCCGTCTTTCGAAGGATAAATCCAATGCGACAGTTCGGCACCAATTGCGTCCCCCTAACGCGTGAGTCATTCAAGTGAAATCATTCCGAGACAATTACTTACAAATACACCTTTGGCGTCCAATTGAACGCATTTGTTGAGACAAAGTTTTTCTCGTCAAATTCCGACAATGTCCTAAGTTTTACTCCAAAAGCTTGTGGAATAAAACTCAAGAAAAAATTCGGATTCCACCGCTATCGAAGTTACTCAATCGGCACATCACCCTCCAAATTCGATCAACTCACACCACGCTCGATAGCTATACGGTCAACATCAGTTTCTCCTCAGTAAACAACTATAAAATCCCCTGGTCCCCTCACCCCCTGCCTCCACTCTTCCCAAACGCAAAATCTCCTAAAACCGAAATAGCTTTCCTGTCTCCTCTCACCTCACGTATTCGCGGCAAAGATCACAAAACCAGTAATTCAAGCACCTAGCTTACTCTTAGCCAAACCCTAACAAACCAACCAAACCTAAACTCAATCGAAGCGTGCGAAGAACTCGCTTCAACTGCCATTGTGAACCCCACCGCTACAAATGCTACCAGCTACAGCACCAACCCTGAAGAGCTCGCTCAGAAACCACAAGAGACTAGAGCGATGAGTTCTCCTAAAAACGGAACAGAACATGGAGGCGATCGCAACCATTGAGCTAGAGCAGTGTGGCATTTGCGGAAGCACCTGGAAACGGAGATTGCAGTGACTGGCAGTTCGGAGCTCGGACTCCGACTGTCGCGATTCCCCTGGTTCAGATCGTGGTTGAGAAAGATCGTTCCCGCGGAGAGAGAGACAGGGAGAGATTGTGAGGGAGCATAATTAGGGTTTGGCTGATCGAGTCTTTGACAACGAATTCATGGCGCATATTGGATTCGACCACCGTGGAACGCTGAGAGGCATCGGGAAAGCTAAAGGCACCTGAAAAAGGTAAAAGGAATCAGAACGCTTAAAGTCAGTTCAAAGGTAAAGCTATTGAAGAGTTGATGGCATCTGAAAGTTAAAGGTCGTGATGAGAGCTGGATTGCTGCTTTGTGAGCCCAAGAGATTCTACTCCTTGGTTTATGTGTTTGCTCTTTATTATTTGTAAATAATATAGTATTTTTCTTCATATCTTTTTAAAAATAAATTAGATTTAAAGAAATTTATTTTTTTTATTTTTTTATTTTTTTATTGTTACAATTGTTGTTGTTGTATATCTGTAAGTTTTAAAGTGGGAAGAAAAAACGGGAAGTAATTATTGAAATAAATATGTATGTTTGTGACATTATCCACTCTTCTAAAGGTGAATTCCATGAGGAGCGGTGTCGTGTTGTGGTTCAGCTACCATGTGAAAATAATGTGTCTATATATTTAATACACAATATATTAGACAACATAGTGAAAGCCATGATAATGGATTTTTGTTGGTTATAGGATGTGGATAGATTACTACCTCTAAAAGAAGTTGTTTAAAAGGACTTCTATTAGAATTTATATAACTTTATTTTCTTTTGATAGTGACTTTTGAAGCTAGTTTTATTGGTAGTAACTTTATACATCTAAAGTCACCTTTGTTAGAAATTGGTGATTCTTAAAGTTTTATTTTGGTTCTTTAATTTGATATTTAAGGCATATAATATATAAATCTTATATAAAAAGGGATTGAAGAGGGATTTTAGTAGCAAAAAAGATAGATAGGGTATTCATATGAATGAATGGACATAGATGATATAAATCTCCATTCCTATTGGTGAAAAATCATGTCCAATGGGCTTCAAGGAAGTTACCTAAGGCTATATTAGGGATTAGGATTAGTCTTTCAAAGGAATTTGAATATTGGAGGCTAGGATCACCAAGTTCAGGTTTTTGGCTATGATTTTGGTACAAATTTTGAGTCATTTAGAGTTTTTATGAAAGAGATATAGGCACTTAAAGTCAAGGTATTGGTTTTGTATCTATTGTCACTCTTTTGGATATAACACATGCATATAGAAAGTAATTAAGAATTAGTGATTGGAATTGAAGAGAGTACTTTCTTGGCTACACTTTACATATACTATTTGATGAATTCTAAGCTGGAATGAAGTAGATATTGGAAGTTGACATCAATGCTTGGAATCTAAGGAGTAGTAAGTAAACCGAATTGCTAGTAGTTGTATTTTGAGCTATATCTTGTGCAATTTGATAAGATTTTACCTAAAAAATTTTAAAAATGCATATTTTCATATTACTAAACTTTATACATAAATTTTGTGGCATTTAGATTTTAAATTTGTGAGATATGAAGAAAATAGTACTCAGGTGCTTGCAAATTAGGATTTGAAGCACTTGCTAGGATTTTTAAGATGCCAAATGATTGGTAGAAAATTTATAGTTGAATTTTTTTTGTAATAATGCTTAAGGATAAATTCTATGTTATCTATAAATTTGAAAAAAATTAAAAAATTGGATTAAGTGATATGAATTTCTAAAGTTCAAGAAGAATAAATATTTTGTAGGAAAAATATATTTTGAAGAGATTTCATTATAATTTGAGCATTTTATACAAAATTAAGGGATTTTTTGGAAGTCAAGACTTAATATACATATTGAAGATGGATATATAGAGCTATGATTAAATTTTGATATAAAGATGAGTTTTTTAGAGGAGATTATGGATTTTCTTTGGAATTATTGAAAATCTAACTTACTAGTAAATGATTAGTTATGATTTGGTATAATCAAGAATGTTAGGAAATTTTTAGATATTTTAGGAAGCCTTATGTACAAATCTTCTTAAATATAAAAGATTTTAGTAGTACAATATTTTTTTGATATTGTAGTATTTATTTGTCTTTTACATTAAAGATTAAATAACTTATTGGAGCTTGGCTAATACGTTAGAACTAAATTCTCTACAACTAGGTACCCAGTGTAATCTCAGATAGAAAACCATGCTATACAATAGTAGTGATCATATGTTGAGGAAGTCTAAGATGCAATAAATTATATTTGCTACATATTCTCATCTTTGTTTTTTTTAAAGATAGTTGATAGATCATTTCAGCCATTGATAGTATTTTATTTCAAGGCAAGAAGACCACCTTGTTATTTGGTCATTATTAAGGTTTTCGTAACTTCTTTCAAACAAAATATTTATGATACCATTGAAAATTATTCCTACCTCTAATAAAATCACCAAATATTGAAAGTCTCTTCTAAACTTGTGATATGAAATGCATTGTATCTTATCATTTATTTAAAAAAGAATATATTATTTTTAAAGATCTTCATCTTGATTATGTCATCTTGAAAGGTGTAATAATCACAATATTATATTTGATATATTAGCAAATAATGGCTTTTATGTTGAATTTGTTAGCTATTGGTTCTTCATCTTCATAGGCGACAAATACACAAAAACTACAAACAAGGATAGAAGGTCAAATGTAAACTTTTTTAAACTACAATTCTTTTATTGTAAAAATTTACTATCATTCATCTTAATTTTGATGGATATTGTCAATAATAAATATCAATTTTTTTCTATATTTATAAGTTTCTTGATTGACTCTCATATACTTTCATTAATATCATATCTACACTAATAAATAAGATATTCTAACCTATTTTAGTACTATCTTGAATCTAAGTCTTCTTCAACCTTATAATCTTACTTATTATCTATTTTTATAAAAAGATGTGATATCTGTCATTTTCTTGATATATTTATTCTCTTGTATGGCTCAAAAAGAGTCACATGGAATACAAGATGGATCTTCATAGACTTTTGTTAGTACAATCAATAAATAATTAGACTAATTTATATATATATATATATATATATATATATATATATATGATTCAAGTCTATTATAACCTAACTTGTCACAAAGGCAAATAGTCTTGATATTATAACAAAATAATTATATTTTATTGCTAATATGGAATTGAGGTTGTTTCTTCTTATAGCATTTGCATTGATCTTTTGTTATTTTTGAGCTTCTTTTAGTTGTGCCTTTATTATTGTATGTAGTTCAAATAAATGATTTGTCAAATCTTCTACTATAAGATTATTAATTTTTAAAAATTCAAAAATATCAAGTCATAGATAGAAATCATAATTGATAAAAAAAAATTATTAAAAAGAAGAATGTATTATATTAATATAAGCAAATTTTATCAATAATAAAAGAATTGTCCAATCATCTTCAAAATACTTAATAGTGCACCTCAAATACTACTTTAGTACTTGATTCACTTGCTCCATTTGGCCATCAATTTAAAAATGGAATTTCAAAGATATTTTTATGTCCATCTTCAAAAACTTAAAAATAATTTTCTAAAATCTTGATATTAATTGTATCTTTCTAACCAATATAGTATTCCTTAGCAATCTATGATAGCAATAGATGGTGTCAAAGGAAGACTTAATTATTTCTTCACATGTAATAGATTTTATATATAGTACAAAATATGTGTGACCTTGATGAATCCATCTACTATTATGAATATAGAGTTAAAAGAACTTGTGATCGGTGTCATAATGTAACACGACTAATAAGTGAAAGAGTGTAGAAATTATTATAATGTAGGAGATCTTAGTTTAAAGTATTAGAGCAAATTATCTTAGAAATATAGTTAATAGTCAAAAGGGTAGTAAAACTAAAAGGTATCAATGCTGCCTTTTTAGAAAGGTGTCTTCTACTTATTTTGTAGGACCTTAAATAAGGCAAAATAAAGTAGATTGGAAAAATAAATGATATAGGCATCTTTAGAAGGAAGTTAAAAATAAATTTTAGCAAAATTTACTTAGAAAAACTAGATATTGATACCCGGAGAAGATCAGTTATGAACCTGGATCGAAATCAGATCCTAAGACACAAAACCGAGTCTCGACAATGACTCTGGGGTTCTTTAGTAGATCAGAGAGTGGGGTTTGATAGCAAACTGAATAAGGTTTCTATAAGCATTAGTTTTGGGCAATTTAGAGTTGTTATGACTTTATAAGAGCTTTACAAAGTCAAGACTATTTTTGGATGACGTAGATTTTGTGAAATAAAATAGGATTGACATTTCTAGTGATTTCAAGTGTTTTATAATAGATCTATAGATGAAATTTTGTGGATTAATGGTCATAATTGTGCTTAATATGTATTGTGAATCTTAGCTCGATCTAATGGTTGAATTAAGCATTATTAAGGTTTAAGTGGATCAAGGTCTCAGAAAGTAGAATTTTAGGTTCAATGAAGGTTTTTAAGATCTCTTGCAATCTATTAGTTGGATTGGAGTGAATTTTTTGTGAAAAGATATTAGACTTATTTTTCTATA